TGTGCCAAACTGCTCTGCCCTGACTGAGTGGGGAGGCTGGCGGGGCCGTGGCCCGGGCGCACCACGTGGCTCCCCACGTGTGAGGCTCTGCCGGAGACAAGAGGGTCGAGGTGTTGCAACTATTGGTCTCCGACCACAGGCATGGATGGTGGCCTGCTCCAAATCCAACTGTGACCTATAAATGGATAGGAAAAATAGCCTGTGACATCTACAGATCACGGACTAGTGGAGCAGCCTTTTATTTAAGTTCCAGCCAGGCGGAGTTCTCGAGTAACTGCTGTTACTCATTTTGTATCCAGAATTGTCATAAGGAATTATTAGACTTAATAGTGGGGTTTATTTTCTTTTCAGCACTTAGTAAGATCCTATTGCCAGGCAGCGCTAGGGTTGCCTAGTCCATGTTTTCTTCCTCAATGCAAAGTTGCCTAGAGAAGGAATCCTGCATCTGTCTTCAAAGCGAAGAGGTTAAATGAGTTCACTGGGGCTGTGCAACAACCTTGTGAGCCACAGCCTTAACCTACCACTTTTTTGAACTGACTTTGTTAACGTCTGGACTGAATTTTATGTTAAAAAGTTTGCATGTTGCTGATGTTGTTTACTTCTCCAAGTTTAAAACTTTGCACAGATAGCAAGAAAAAACAAAAGGAGAGGGCGGTAGAATGTGCATGTTTGGTGGGTAATCAATAGTTTTCCCCACTCTGTATCAACTAGTATGGATGGGCAGAAAGTGCTACAGAGTCACCTTTTTGATGAACTTTTGCTCTCCTTCTGATCTGTGTCAACAAAGCTATTCAAGAATTACTGGTCTAATCAAAGTCACCATGTCTTTTTGACCTGGCTTCTGGCCCCTCAGTAGGGGCCAAGTTATTGAGTTTTAGTTAATGTTCAGCGTTCTTGGATCAGCTTGGCCGTGGAATGTATTGAGGGGATCCAAATGGAGTGTAGGGCTTGGTTTTCCACTTGTGTGGGTTTTCTTGACGTTTCAAACTACTTCCTTTCAGAATTGGGCTATCGTTACCTGGTGGTCAGGATACTTAATTCTGTATCTTTTTTTAGTGAGGACAAAAGCCGGAGACGGGAGCATCACTAACTCTTTGTAGCATGTTTTCAAGTTACAGATGTGGAAATTCAACCAGCTGAATACCGAGTAGCTTTGGTGACACTCACGTGTGGTCTGTGTTCAAGAATTCTCAAAACGTGCTCCTGGGGAAATAGAAACTCCTCGGGGGTAGCATTTCTCTTTAATATTTTGATTTCTCTTTTTAAACTAAATGCTAGCACTTGTTAGCAGTCCTTTCTTCCTTTCCAGCTCTTTATCTTAGAGGAAACAAAGCTATGCTTCCTGTTACATAGGGGTTTTGCCATGTTCAGGCTGGCTCTGGGCTGGCTTCTCAAATGTGGATGTGGTATTATAGGTTGGTCACCGACAACCTGGAAGGAAACTGCTGATTTCTCAGTGTTCGCCTCTTTGATATAGCTGACTTGCCAAAGAGCTCTTAAGTGTGCTGGCTTTAGCAGTGGTTTTTATCTAGTCTGTCCTTTGATTGAAGGAGTGAAGTCCTATTAATATTGAGTGGAAGTGATACTTGTAGATCAAAAAAAGCACCTGGTAAGTATAAAGAATATAAAAGCCCCTGTTATATTGGGCTGTTGAACTCTAAGGAACTGCTAGTATGCAGAAAAATAGTGAGTAATCTTAGAGGTGAAGTTCAGCTTCCTTTCTATGGTGAGGAGCTGAAGTTAGTTTTACTTTGTTTGTTAAAACAGACTTCTTCCTCGGAAGGCATCTAGGCTAAAACCTGTAAAATAAGGAGCATTACAGTGGAGCTTAGTGGTAGTTCTTTGTATTATCAGGTCTAGATGCTTGTGCGTGAAGACTGGAAATTAGTAGCACCTCTCCCGTTTTAAAAGTTTTGAATGTGTATTAACTGTAAAGTCACAGAATGGCATGATCTTCTACTTTGAAGTTTGATTCAAGAAACTTCAAAGTTCTTCCTATCACTAGAAGAACCACAAAGAAACTTTGTCACTTTGAAGTTTGGTGCTAAAGTTGCACTCAGACTTCAAATCTGACCCAGGAAACTGCTGTGGTGGCACCTCTCACTTGGATCTTTGAGCTGTTCTCAGCCTATGAGCTAGCAGTAGGATGGTCATACAGAGTAAAGTCTAAAATTAATTCTTAATAGTGTTTTGCTGAATAGCTGCAAGGTGATTTATTTCAGCTTCAAACTACAGTTCTGGAGCTCTCTAGAAGGAGTTCAGGTAGATGGTGTGCCTTCTCTCTTTAGTAGAAAGCTAATGTTTGAGGCAACTAGACTTGTGTTTCCTCAGAAGTTTTGGAATCTAGTCTGAGGCAGTGGCTTAGTATATCTTGCAGAATTTTGACCTGGCTTGGAAATGCTAGGTGAGGCCATAGTTCTAATTTGTTTTCCATTATTACTTTTTGTGTCTCAGTGAGGCAGAAATCTAGTTCAGGGATGTAAAGGGCATAGCCGGGGAGGGGGGGAGCAGTGGTAGGTGGACAAGCTTTGTGTAACCCATTTGAGCTGTGGAAAACACTGATAGATGTGACTGAGTGCAAACTTTTCAAGCAAACTTAAACAAGTAGGCTTCTTGCAGAAGGCTTACTTTAAGGTGGCCTTGATAGATAAAAGAAACTGCTGGTAACGCCTGCGATGACAAAATGAAGTAGTACTGACTAAGAGGAGAATTTGAACTTGGGTGGTTTTTACTGTAGTCATTTTTTTTCTCTTAGAAGTAACTGAAAAATGTAATGGTGTCCAAACTGTTTGGAGGCTATCCATTTAAGGACTTGTCTTCTGAACCAGCCTTTTCTGGATACTGCTCCTGAAAGGTTGCGGATGGCTTTATCTGAAAACTAAGTCCTTATATTGGTTTTTAAAACAGTCTACACTGGTGGGCAGTTCTGTCCTGTGTAAGGCTTTTTAGAATGTGGGGCAAGTAAAACTCGTGTCAGCTGCATCCACCTACTAATAGCTGGTGAACTTGTATTCAGTTTCAGATTCTTTACAGGAAGAAAGCAGAAGTTAAATATTAAAATACTGGTAAAGAGAAATTCCAGGCAAACTGTTTGGTACTTTCATATACTTAAGGTATCTGAAGATGGAGCAGTGTGCTTTGTAGTCATGCTTCTATGGCAGCTGTATCCTTCAAATATCTCTGAGTTGAGGGGGGGAAGGGGCCTCTGAAGTTACAGGGTTTTAAATGAATTTCTCGAATAGTCTTGAAGGATGGTTGTACAGAGACTGTTGTTTGACTTTAATTTTCTTACTCAGTTTGCATAATCTTACTTTGCCAATTTGCTATATACCAGACGAAAAGAAACTTCAGGTTTTCCTCTTGAAGGAGCAGTTAAAAAGGAAGCAACTTCTAATCAGCTGTAAAACTTCTCTTTTCAGATTCCTTTGGGGCAGTGAGTAGTGAGCTTTTGTCCCATCATGCAGATCCTGACCCTGACTGGCAGACTGACAGACTAGATACAGGCTGACAGATTAATCTTAGTACAAAAACTTTTCCACTGTGTATCTAAAGCAGGTCTAGCTCACCTATTAAACATTTGTCTTTTACCACATGTTAACCTAACTGGTTATATTAGGTTCTTCATATGGGTAACTGCTGGCAATATTCAATCCTGTCACTTTGTGCTGTAATCTCAAGTTTGTGGCTTGAAATGAAAGTCTAGTAATTTTTAGTATCTGTAAAGACATATCGCAATTCTGTTACAGCTGTTGGCATACTATTTTGCTCTTTTTAACAGGTCTTACATTGTTGTTCTATAATTTTTTACATGTGATTAGAAGAGTTGGAAGTTGAGTGAAGAATATATCTTGGTATATAATTCAGAGACCCCATCTTGTCCCTCTTGAAATTAAAAGCAGCATCAACTATTGTGCCTGAACCCAGCTCCTGCAGTTGGCTTTGCTTGTGTTTTTCCTGTTCTGTAGAGTCAACATGGTTGCTATGAAAACAGACATAAACAATAGCACAGTGAGTGCCAGCTGCTGCCACCATAGTAGACAGCTCTTCACCCTTGGGTGTCCTAATAAAGACTGGGATGAAGCACAGAAGACTGGGTTATGTGTAAAATCCAAGTATACCTCCTAAGTGCTCAGACAACCAGTTGTTTTATTCTTTTTAACATATGTTTAAGATCTTATTGCATCTTACCGTTGCAGAACTTCATTTTAAGGGCAAATACCATCATCTAGTTCAGCGGGAAGGTAGATGTGGGATTACAGAAGTAGCATACTAAAGTTTATCTCTCTTGTACTTTGAATTCCCAGGCTTCTACTGTGGTTGGAAGGATGGATAAGCACTTCTATACTGATGATGATTGGAGAGAGAGGAACTGTTTTGAGGGAGGAGTGGCTAAAAAGCCACAGTGAACTTGTTCAACATTGGAGTAATTTAAAAATAACTCTAAATAAAAATTCATGTTTAGATATTTAGCTCTTAAATGGAGAGTGTATATCAGGATGCTAATTCTGGTTCCTTCTTGTGGTCCTGTGTTCTTACTGCTTCTGTAGTGGCTTTCTTGAAGATGCAACTCATGACCATTCCTGGTAATCTGGAATGCTGGGTGGTTTGGAGGGGAAGAAAGCATTCTGTAACATAAATAAATTGTAGGGTTACAGGAGGATTATCTTGAGGGATCAGGTAAACTGACCAAACATACCAGATAATGATTCTACTTCTGTTGGATTAAGAACAGTGAACTAGGAGAGAGCATATGACGTATTTAAACTCAAGCTTTGTTTTGATGAAGTCTCCTTGACATGCGTGTTTTTAAATAAGTGTACTTTAAGCTTGTCTTCAAGCACCCTTTAAAAAAAGACTCCAATTTAAATGTTTAACTTCCTTGTTCTTTTCTAGTTCTAGAAGTCTTGCGTAACTGTTTTACAGCTTAGGGGAGTTAGGTACTGTGACTGCAGTCTGTTTAACCCACCCCGTCCTAATCACTGCTTCAGTGGCCTGTTACAGGCTGACTTTCTGCTCAACGAAATGCATACCTCCATTCCCCAATATGGGCAAAAGAAGTGGTTTATACTGTCTCGGACAGGCATGCCTATCTGATGTTTCCCTAGCATTCTAAGGATATTTTCCAAGTTAGCCTTCTAGATATCTGGCAAGTGTCTGGTGTCTTTTAGGGAAGTCGGATGTCTTAAACATTTTCTTTCATGTAAACCTGGGAGTGAAGCATGCATCCTGAGCTATAGGTTAATATATTGAAGTTTGTCATTCTTGTTTCTCAGAGTTTAACTGCTGTTTAGGTCATGAAAGAACTGAAGTCTTCAAAAGTTAAGCTAACGTGCTCTTTAAGGCTTTAGGTTTAATACTGCCTATTCTTAAAATTAGCTTCTAGAAAGAAGCTTGAGTAGTCAATAAATGTAGTAGCTGCCAGCCAGACACTTCAGGAGAAAGTGTAGCAACTACCAGGAAGAAATAATTTGTAGAGATAAGTAGCTGGCTTTTGAGTATAACTCTGAGGAATAAGGAAGAAGGTGTGTTACTGAAGGAGAGAACAACAGTAAGGCTTTTATCTGCTACAGTTGTTTTAATTGCGATGATCGGATATTGTACAAGAAAGTATTGAGTTAGCCAGAAGTCCTGCTTGGTTTTCGTTGCCTTTGCCGGGAGGGTGGGAAACCTCTAAATCTCTTATTTTAATGTAGCCTTTGGTTGGGGTAGGGGAAGGTGTTCTAAAAATGTCTGTCTTCCTCAGGCAGGTAATCTGCAGTCATGAGCAGCAACGAGTGCTTCAAGTGTGGACGTACCGGCCACTGGGCTCGGGAGTGCCCTACTGGAATTGGCCGTGGTCGTGGGATGAGAAGCCGTGGCAGAGGTGATTGATCACTGTGGTTTACACTTTATTTGTATAGTAAGATCTCTAGCTTGACTGTTCTGTATAATGTGTGAAACTGGCTTTGTTAGTCTGAATGAAGTGAAGAATTTAGGACACAAATTAGTAATCAATTTCACTGGTTCTTGCCTCTGCATAAGAATTTTGCCAGGGGCATCTGAGAGTGAAGTTAACTTGTGAATTGAGCTGGCAGTGTCCTTGAT